AATCACATCCACAGTCTTCCGAATGTAGGTACGGACTTCGAAAAACCGATACAATATTTTCGGCTCATAATAATCAGGGTAGCATGAAACGTGAACAAAAGAAGTTTCCAGCATGAACCGTAGAGAAAAGTGGTTTCTAGGAATCCACTTTCACAAGCATTTCTTAACCCACTCGCCTGCTGACGTAACCTTGTTAGCCTAAAAATTCCCTAAAACTTGACCACTATAGACATAAATTTGACCACTAGACATAAAGTTGACCACTAGACATATAAAACTTGACCACTAGACATAAACTTGACCAATAGAGTCTAGACATAAAATTAACCACTAGACATATAATGGATTATGAAATCGCGCAGTAGGTAAAATCAGTGTTGTTATTGATTGTCAGATGGTACACGTACCCTAGAAACATTTTATAATTTAGATTATCTATCAACTTAGCTTTCCAAGTTTATTTAGCTTTCCACTTATCTCACGCTGTATAACTAATATTATGTGCACATTATGTAATCTTATTGGGAGCTGATTGAGACAATTGACCACTACAACTTGGTGTCTAACTGACGTCAGACTCAATTGTTAGTTAGCACAATGTTAGACTAAGTGGACAAATGAAAAGCTATCTTGGTACCCCAGGTAACTCGTACTCCGTTTTATAAATCTAGATTGTAGAGTACGCTATATAAATATTGATCACATGACCACATACCACACATACCACATACCACACATACCACACTAGATATAATCACACACGATATCAATCTATTTTCCTGTTTCCTATTTCCTGTTTCGCTTGGCCTAAATAATCGCTGCTCGACTGCTTTACCATGCACCGAGTTATAATGCACCTATTGTAGAACTTACAATATGCTTATTATAACTGTAGCAGTATCTGGAACTCCGCCAACAAGCAACGCAATTATTATAATTATGTACATTTCACAAGTTATTTTCCTATACTGTTTCAAGTTCTAAACGACATTTAATTAGATTGTGCGTCATAAGCGGAAACAGTGGTTCCTTATTTTGTAGCAATTTAAGAGGAGGGGTTTGGGGTGCAATATGGAGATAAGATTTGGGGCACAGGCAACTGGCAACCGACAATGCACATTCTTATGCACACATCACAAGTAATTTTCCAACAATGTTTCTAGTTCTAATTGAACTTTAATTCTTGCGAATCGTAAGTGGAACCCCTTTGGTTCTTTGTCCCGTATTTTGTAGCAGTGGGCGGGGTCTAGGGAAGTGTTTTGTCATGTCTACTTTAGGGTTCTAATTAGTCTGCTTCTACTTCTGACCTCAAATATAAGGCGAGGATGATATTTGTAGAACCAGTTGCTGTTGTGTCTGGAAATAAGCACCACCTATAGTGTTACTCAATCCACTTGTACTTGGAGCCTGCAATCAATAAGCACTACCTATTTAGTGTTACTCAATCCACTTGTACTTGGAGCCTGCACTCAATAAGCACCACCTATTTAGTGTTACTCAATCCACTTGTACTTGGAGCCTGCACTCAATAAGCACCACCTATTTAGTGTTACTCAATCCACTTGTACTTGGAGCCTGCACTCAATAAGCACCACCTATGTAGTGTTACTCAATCTACTTGTACTTGGAGCCTGCACTCAATAAGCACCACCTATTTAGTGTTACTCAATCTACTTGTACTTGGAGCCTGCACTCAATAAGCACCACCTATTTAGTGTTACTCAATCCACTTGTACTTGGAGCCTGCACTCAATAAGCACCACCTATTTAGTGTTACTCAATCCACTTGTACTTGGAGCCTGCACTCAATAAGCACTACCTATTTAGTGTTACTCAATCCACTTGTACTTGGAGCCTGCACTCAATAAGCACTACATATTTAGTGTTACTCAATCCACTTGTACTTGGAGCCTGCACTCAATAAGCACTACCTATTTAGTGTTACTCAATCCACTTGTACTTGGAACCTGCACTCAATAAGCACCACCTATTTAGTGTTACTCAATCTACTTGTACTTGGAGCCTGCACTCAATAAGCACTACCTATTAAGTGTTACTCAATCTACTTGTACTTGGAGCCTGCACTCAATAAGCACCACCTATTTAGTGTTACTCAATCCACTTGTACTTGGAGCCTGCACTCAATAAGCACTACCTATTTAGTGTTACTCAATCCACTTGTACTTGGAGCCTGCACTCAATAAGCACCACCTATTTAGTGTTACTCAATCCACTTGTACTTGGAGCCTGCACTCAATAAGCACCACCTATTTAGTGTTACTCAATCCACTTGTACTTGGAGCCTGCACTCAATAAGCACCACCTATTTAGTGTTACTCAATCTACTTGTACTTGGAGCCTGCACTCAATAAGCACCACTTATTTAGTGTTACTCAATCCACTTGTACTTGGAGCCTGCACTCAATAAGCACTACCTATTTAGTGTTACTCAATCCACTTGTACTTGGAGCCTGCACTCAATAAGCACCTCCTATTTAGTGTTACTCAATCCGCTTGTACTTGGAGCCTGCACTCAATAAGCACCACCTATTTAGTGTTACTCAATCCACTTGTACTTGGAGCCTGCACTCAATAAGCACTACCTATTTAGTGTTACTCAATCTACTTGTACTTGGAGCCTGCACTCAATAAGCACCACCTATTTAGTGTTACTCAATCCACTTGTACTTGGAGCCTGCACTCAATAAGCACTACCTATTTAGTGTTACTCAATCCACTTGTACTTGGAGCCTGCACTCAATAAGCACCACCTATTTAGTGTTACTCAATCCACTTGTACTTGGAGCCTGCACTCAATAAGCACCACCTATTTAGTGTTACTCAATCCACTTGTACTTGGAGCCTGCACTCAATAAGCACTACCTATTTAGTGTTACTCAATCCACTTGTACTTGGAGCCTGCACTCAATAAGCACCACCTATTTAGTGTTACTCAATCCGCTTGTACTTGGAGCCTGCACTCAATAAGCACCACCTATTTAGTGTTACTCAATCTACTTGTACTTGGAGCCTGCACTCAATAAGCACCACCTATTTAGTGTTACTCAATCCACTTGTACTTGGAGCCTGCACTCAATAAGCACCACCTATTTAGTGTTACTCAATCCACTTGTACTTGGAGCCTGCACTCAATAAGCACCACCTATTTAGTGTTACTCAATCCACTTGTACTTGGAGCCTGCACTCAATAAGCACTACCTATTTAGTGTTACTCAATCCACTTGTACTTGGAGCCTGCACTCAATAAGCACCACCTATTTAGTGTTACTCAATCCACTTGTACTTGGAGCCTGCACTCAATAAGCACTACCTATTTAGTGTTACTCAATCCACTTGTACTTGGAGCCTGCACTCAATAAGCACCACCTATTTAGTGTCACTCAATCCACTTGTACTTGGAGCCTGCACTCAATAAGCACTACCTATTTAGTGTTACTCAATCCACTTGTACTTGGAGCCTGCACTCAATAAGCACCACCTATTTAGTGTCACTCAATCCACTTGTACTTGGAGCCTGCACTCAATAAGCACCACCTATTTAGTGTTACTCAATCTACTTGTACTTGGAGCCTGCACTCAATAAGCACTACCTATTTAGTGTTACTCAATCCACTTGTACTTGGAGCCTGCACTCAATAAGCACCACCTATTTAGTGTTACTTTCTCCACTTGTACTTGGAGCCTGCACTCAATAAGCACCACCTATTTAGTGTTACTCAATCCACTTGTACTTGGAGCCTGCACTCAATAAGCACCACCTATTTAGTGTTACTCAATCCACTTGTACTTGGAGCCTGCACTCAATAAGCACTACCTATTTAGTGTTACTCAATCCACTTGTACTTGGAGCCTGCACTCAATAAGCACTACCTATTTAGTGTTACTCAATCCACTTGTACTTGGAGCCTGCACTCAATAAGCACCACCTATTTAGTGTTACTCAATCCACTTGTACTTGGAGCCTGCACTCAATAAGCACCACCTATTTAGTGTTACTCAATCCACTTGTACTTGGAGCCTGCACTCAATAAGCACTACCTATTTAGTGTTACTCAATCCACTTGTACTTGGAGCCTGCACTCAATAAGCACCACCTATTTAGTGTTACTCAATCCACTTGTACTTGGAGCCTGCACTCAATAAGCACTACCTATTTAGTGTTACTCAATCTACTTGTACTTGGAGCCTGCACTCAATAAGCACCACCTATTTAGTGTTACTCAATCTACTTGTACTTGGAGCCTGCACTCAATAAGCACCACATATTTAGTGTTACTCAATCCACTTGTACTTGGAGCCTGCACTCAATAAGCACCACCTATTTAGTGTTACTCAATCCACTTGTACTTGGAGCCTGCACTCAATAAGCACCACCTATTTAGTGTTACTCAATCCACTTGTACTTGGAGCCTGCACTCAATAAGCACTACCTATTTAGTGTTACTCAACCCACTTGTACTTGGAGCCTGCACTCAATAGTACCACCTATTTAGTGTTACTCAATCCACTTGTACTTGGAGCCTACACTCAATAAGCACCACCTATTTAGTGTTTCTTAATCCACTTGTACTTGGAGCCTGCACTAAATAAGCACCACCTATTTAGTGTTACTCAATCTACTTGTACTTGGAGCCTGCACTCAATAGTACGCACTGCTGAAAGTCTGGAACCTAATCAGATCAATTTAGGGCAACCCACAACAGCCGATCAAATTCAAGCATTTTCTATGTTATTTCATTTAAACGCAAAATTAGCAGGGATTTGGTGCGCCCAAGCTTCTTTTTCATTTCACGGCCCTGCGGCCCATCCCTTGTCGACCTAGCTGTTACATTATCGTTCTAACTTTTAAAGCAATAAATAATAGGACCACATACCGGCGGGTGCAGGGTAATAGATATAATAGGTAGTGCCAGAACTATTCAACTTTTTAAATGGGTCACTTTTTACCTGTAGATTTCTGAAACGTTTTAATACTTTCAACACTACTATATATTTATAGTATAACAAATAATTTGAGATCATTAATACGATGTTGTAACATTGAAACGTTGAGTAATTCCTTTCCTGATAAGAGCATTTTTCCTTGTCGCATCAAACGGGATCAATAAAAATTTACACAAGAATACGATACAGTAGATAAACAAGAGATAATCAGTTTTAGTGACTTTTTATTGAGAATTTGATAAATAACAATCGTAACTTTTGAAATAAGTATATATACTTAGTTATATATATACTCAGTTATATATATAACTGACCCTAATCCTTAAATGCAATGTACTTTATGTGATCATAATATTCAACAATGTTTGACCCTGGTGATGCGTCTCGTACCGTCTAGCTAGAACGAATACACCATCACGTGACACTGCACGTGACACATCACGTGACACATCACGTGACACATCACGTGACACATCACGTACCGTTTAGCTAGGGACTTAAAGTAGCGTAGACCTCAATGTGTGATTATAAATCCATATTCAACAAGTTTTGAAGTTTGCGGGATGATTCATCCTCGTAAGGAGCTCCCATTGTTTTGTTAGGTGTTTGCTTATTAGATAAATGGATAATAAATAAAGTCAGTTTGCTTATTAAGTTTGATCTCTACAAAGTATCTACCGTATGTGAATTGTGAATATGTATCCCCTCGTATATAAATCTGAGGCAGGAAGCGCATTCTTGTGTACATCAAGAATGTTTTAATGGTAGCGTTTGTAAATCTAATGTTGTGTTGTTTCAAAAATTAGTTAAACTAAACCCGATTAGATTAAATTTAATAAGATTGGTTTAAAGCGTGACATTCAACATTTAAAGAATACCTAACTTAACATTGTAAACTGCTGCAATCTTCTGCTCCCGATCTAGAACATCATTCTACTCACTACCCAACTAAATAACACACCTTCCCAGAAAGCAGTCATGTTCACACTGGTAGCCGTTATTGTGATGTTTGCCATTACTATAGAGGCAGCCTCGTTAGAGAAAAGAGAAGTTGAGGCAGATGAAGTGGAACTAGAAATGGACCAAGTAGAAAAGAGGGGGAAGAAGGGGAAGAAGGGGACCAAAGGAGCAAGGATACCCGGAGTTGTACTCAAGAAACGAACTTCGAAAACAGAGGAGAAATTGTGAGGGGATTACTGTAGTAATATTAGTAATAATATTAGTAATAATATTAGTAATAATATTAGTAATAATATCGTATTTAACTGTGCTGGATTTTTAAGTATCACCTGGGGCGATGTTTTTCTAAATTAAGTTTTATCAAAATTTTAATTGAAAATTAACATTCCTTTTTTTTTCGTCTAAGATTTAACATTTATTCAGAAAATAGCATTTAGCATGATAACGGTTTGTTGTTTTGAAGGAGTTTCAATTAGCAATAGCATTTTAAAATGCTAATTGTGCAGTGTGCGGATGTTTAATGATTGTTTTTCATGAAAATTTGTAATATCTCAAAATCTTTGTTTAACGATTAGCTAGAAAGTTGTGAAACTAAAATATAATAGATACGACTCGACTATAACTAAATTTAATTAAAAGTAAACAGACAAATCATGTGAATCATATCATTGGATACTGGTTACTGGTTACTGGTTATTGGTTACTGGTTACTGGTTACTGATTACTGGTTAATGTCTAATGGTTACTGGATTCTGGTTACTGGTTACTGGTTACTGGTTACTAGTTACTGGTTACTGGTTACTGGTTACTGGTTGCTGGTCACTGGAGCAGTTCTAATTCTTCGAGACTAAAGTACTAAGAGTCCCTACCATAACACAACAATTGTACGTCACAAGACTCCTTGTACACCCTGGCATTGTTTATTAACCATGTAGTGGCTTTTTAAGGCAAATTTTAAGGCAATTTTCTAACATCACTGGTTTGAGGTATTAAAAAACTCACCTCAGTACAGTGTGAGTGAGGTTGAGTCTGGCGTACGCGTACACAAACGGTCTCCTCAGTCCCAGCTGGTCAATAAACCAGTAGTATTGTGGGTCCCGGTCGTTGTACTCGGTGGTACGCAGCGCGTGTGTCACTCCCTCTACACTGTCCACGATAGGACAAGCAAAGTCGTACGTTGGGTACACTCTGACAAGTTGTGGTAGATAAAATGATGGATTATAAGTACATACCCGGCCCTGGGTTAATTCTTAAACATTTCTTAAACTAGACGATTCAAGACGTTATATAAGACTTATAGTAGTGATCATCACGTTTATCATTTTATCAAGTCAACAAAGTTCATGACGTCACACTAATTCTGATGACGTCACACACGGTTAGCTGACTCACTTGTACTTGTTACCGTGACGAGGATGAGGTTCGTCCTTACACCGGTACATGGCCGGATCTCTCAGACAGCCGTTGTCAGACTGCATGTCCATCTTGGCTCGCAGACAACACTTCTTACCGTAGTCAGTTCCAGCTACCATCTGCTTCCATTTCTCCATGTTCACTGCTACACCTGTACACCAGTGTTTAATGAGACGATTTGAAACAACTTATCGTTCAGAAGCTAAGGTAAGTCAGCAGATAGGAACAAACATTGATAATGTCACATGGCAATCTCATGGCAACATTAATATATATTGGATATGTTATATCGCTCGCTTCCTCAATAAATGTAATAGATTTGTAATGTTTTAAATAGTTTAAAAACTTTAAATTATGAAAGTTTCCTTGGCTAGATACTCCTCAAAACGTACTGTTAGTTCTGTTAGCCCCCCCCCCCCCCCCCCCCCCGGCTAGATACTCCTTAAAACGTACTGTTAGTTCTGTTAGCTGACTCGAATCTCTTCTCCCTCTCCTCCTTCATCTGTAAAGGATCAGTATCGTCCACGTATGCCAAACCCTGCAAAATGGGGTAATATTAGCAAAATGGGGTAATATTAGCAAAATGGGGTAATATTAGCAAAATGGGGTAATATTAGCAAAATAATCCGCAACACAATCTCAGAACGTTATGTTAAGCAGTATGCAGAGTATTAAGCTAAAAGGGAGAAGTTAGAATCGGACAGAATAATATGTAGTTTGTGAAAATTCAATCTTTGACTTCTATAACTTATCACGATATTTGGTAAGTTATAGACACTAACATCACCGAATTATAACTCCCACGCGAAGTACAATTACTGTAACTTACAATAGTAACAATCCCTAATAGTGTAATTAGTATAGTATAATTAGTAATTAGTGCTACCTTGTTGATCATCTCCTCGGCATACTTCAGCATGATTGGGAAGTGGTTGGAAGTGAAGCTGAAGATATCTGGCTGAATGTTCAGAAGTTTAACATCTTCCAGAATGATCTTCTCAAACTCGGTATTTTCTTTGGCTGGGTTTGTGTCGTCAAACCTCATCACAAGTTTGCCTGGACAAATAACAATATATTCTCACATATACCCCATACATGATACATGCCATGAATAAATTATGATATTATGACAGCACACAGTTTTGCAGGATGCCGTGAAGGTTGGAAGTAGAATATAGAATCCAAATTAATAATAACTAATTGAATACACCCTTAATTAATGATAAATAACTGAACATACCCTTGAAGGACTGTTGATAGAACTGGTTGAGAAGAGCAGCTTTAGCGTGTCCAATGTGAAGATACCCTGACGCCTCTGGGGGGAACCTTACGACAACATTTCCCATCGTAGCACCAGGTAGATCCACAAACTTTCCTGGTGAATATTTGTCCTGTTTAGCGGCAAACCAACATAAATGGTTTTAGATATTTTGTATAAGGTGTATTTCACATTTTACTCTTTAAAACTTTCATCAAAGTGTGAAAAGTTCGATTTATTAAGTCATAAAGATAATGGGAAATATAAAACCGAAAAGTAGCAGAAACTAAACCTCCTTCCTCTTTGCCACCCTTGGCCTTTTTTCCCTCAACTTTCTTTCCTGCGGGCTTGCCTCTGGTTATCTTGGGCATGTCAGCAACACTGACTTCAACCACTGGTATCTTGGAGATGTGGTCACACCATCGAGTAAGGTTCTTGCCACATAGACCTGAACAGGAATGTTAACTGCATTCCGACTCAATATTATCGCAACTACAGATAACTGCATTATAATATAAACTACAGATGTTCTTAGTATAGTAGAGAAAGTGCAGTGCGCTCACTCCGTCTTTGAAAGGTACATGATCTAGCTTCTACGCTAGTAACCGACCAAATATTACCTGGTGTTTCAACTTACCCTTGGACAGGACGACACTGAAGGAGTGATTTGACATGAGTCCAGAATAGACACTGAGATCAGCCAAACTAAGAGTGCTTCCAACCATGAAGCTGTTCTGAGCTAGAACCTACAGGGAATTAATCATGAGAAGGGTACATGACTTAGATCTGTATATATTTGTTGTTTGAAAATCAATAAAATGGTCAATTAACGAGGTAAGTTTCTTCAAATTTGATTGTATGTATTCAAATTATTATCCCTTATATTCTCCATCAGAAGTACATGTTAAGAACATTTTATGTGTGGTATAAAAATTCATTCAAGATCATTAGATCCTAAAGAACCATAACCACAGATAAGTTTAATAATAACAAACCTCGTCACAGTAACGAATGCTTGTGTTGAAGTCACCATGTCCAAACTTGTTCAGTCCATACCAAATCCAGTGATCAACTTCAGCTTGCTGCAATAAGGTACTTCCGTACAAACCTACAAATATAGATTATCAGTTTTTTGAATGCTTATAGTAAAATTCAAAAATAAAAGCTTTTTTTGATCTTCTTCCTAAAGTCAACGATAATATTATTTGCAGGCTTTACTGTAGAATTAAACTGATTTCCAGTATTCGGTAATAGAACAATAAAAAACGTATACTCAATCCCACACACCAGCATCAGGGTTAGCTCTCGCAAGGTGTCTTGAAATAGCTTCAGGGCTATGAAGGGTCAAACTTTGAACCTGCAGAGCTGTGACTGTGTCCCATTTAAAAGCAACAGTCTCCTTAAGGTTCTCAGCAACCATCCTCAGGTAGAGAGATGGCTTGGCCTTGTCGATTGACAGAGTGTGCTTCATTGTTGCAATCTGGAAAAATGATGTCAGACATTGCGTTAAGATACCATCAATTTTCAGTTTTCATATTACAGTAATTGTAACATGATGAGAATAAAATTTTTCTTAATAAGCTAAATTAGGATTGAAGTTTGATTTGACAGACTGAGATACTATCACTTACTTCGGTTGTAAGAAAGCGATGTGTAGAGTAAAAACTTTTGGAAAACCTTGACTTTAGAAACCGACCTATTAGCATGCACACATAGTATGGAACTAGTGCTGAGGATATTTTAATTAATTTACTGTAAAACCAAATATCATACAAAGAGATGGATTTTCCCAGTTTGAAATAATTTTAAGGCTAAAATTCATATGAGAGGCAAAAAGAGTTCTTTTTTATGTCTGGAGGGGTTTTATGTACAGTAAGTCCAGTTAAATTATAAAAAATCAAATGTGACATAATTTATAAAAATTTTGATTACGGTACGATTCTAAACGGTTTATCTTCAATAAATAATGCTTTGATTTTACAATATTACACGCGTTGAGAGGAAATCTAACAAAAGGGGTCACTTAATTAACTTAGTTGCTTTATTTGTCCATATCATTAAGCTTGTCCCACATCGATTCACCCCAAGATTTTGCTTTGGCTACAAAAATAGGAGCATCATAAGCTACTACCGTCACTATTGCTGATGCTTGAGTGTTCTTATTGACCATCTCCTGAATTTCATCTGTAACCTGAGCTTTAGCAGACGACTGAATACTCAGCATGCATTTTGAGCAAACTTCCTCACTGAGGTACAATTTTACTGGACCGCCAAAACTCTGAATAAAAACTTGCTGATCAACATCTTGCAGAGTTACTTTCACTTCTCCACCTCGACATCGTATATCAAGATTGTCTTTAGATGAACCAATGGTAACTGAACCACTACCACTGACAATCTTGCAATTCCCATGAACATTGTCTATCTTGACATCTCCATATTTGCCAAATATCTTTCCTTCTGGTGCATAGAGTGACCCAATGTCAACTGAACCGGAGGATGTGCTAATTGTAAGTCTTTCACCCTGAATTTTTTTGGCAAGCACATTGCCTCCAGTCATAATAGAGCAATTACTAACAATTGAGTTCAACTGGATTGAACCTGACTTGCTGATAATTGATGTTTCATTTGCCTTGACACTTTTCAAAGTGCACCCACCAGCCTCAGTCTTAATTTCAATGTCTGCCTCATGACCAATAATATCAACACTGGCATCATTACTGCATTTGACAAAGAGCGGTGACTTGACAGGAATTTTTGCATTAATTTCTTCACTATCAGTACTACATAACTCTAAAGTTTCAGTGTGGGAAACGCTTGTACCGTTCTCTGGGTATGTCAATTTAGTTTTTGGCTCAATACAGTCTGCTCTCCAATCATATTGTCTGACAAAAACATCACTGCTTGATTGAATTTTGATAGGTGTGAAGTCATCAATCCTTTTCTCCCATATACTGCTGAAAGATCTTGACCAAATTCGAGGAATCACTGATCGGGCTAGCATACTGCAATGGTTAATAATTATATTAATTATTTACTATTTATTAAGACTTATCACATTAACTAGTATAAGTAAGAGATTACTTAGATAAAGTGTCAAACAGTATATATATACAATAAAGTAATTCAAGTGTTGCAATTGGCAGAGCACAATACAGAGGTAACGGAAATTGTCCACTGCTACCAATATTATATAATATGAAATATCAACAATCAGATATATACACATCTACTCCATCATAGGGGCAGGGATGAGGTTATATATAATAAGAGACTTCTGATAGTGGTGTCTCATATTTGCTGTCCATTTTTTTTCCTCTGTACCCTCGTAGAGCTATGAGTGTGGTTCTTAACATAAGCGAATCTTATTCTTGTCCTTACATGTCTTACCACATCGCAATACCTCTCTTTTCTTTTCCTTATCAAATTAACTGTTGCCAATTCGACTAACATGATCTCATCGAATAGTTCAGAACATAGTAAAAAAGGTATCAGGGCCATTTACAATCTTCTACCAAGACACGATTCCATATATGAAGACTAGTTAATTAGAATCTTCTTGGCTCAAAATTCTCACAGTTTAATTTTACAGAACTGTTCAAAAATTTCTGATAATCGCATAGATACGACAAGAGTAGATACAAATATAAAACGACACGTTCAATAAAATAATGTGATGTAATTAGCAGGGCAAGGTACACTGGTGAGGGAAATAGTCAACTAAAAACTAGTTGGAATCTTTATATATTAATCAAGAGTGGATACAAGTTGTACAAGTTGTACAAGAGAAATGAGGAAGAAAAAAAAAAACTAAGTATAACTCACGAGTCATCAACACTGAAAGAGCGTCTTTCATTCCTCTAGTGTTTTCTACAGCAGGGACTACAGCACCAGAATGTGACAGATTTCACAAACGTCTTGCTAGATTGATATCAAAGAAGAGAAAGGAGAGCTAGACAGATGTTATCAACTACATCAGGACCAAGATATGCTTTGCTATGCTTAAAAGCATAGTGGTATCAGTTCATGGTGTGAGGAGTCAAGAAGAAAAGAAAGTAACAAAAACGGTTGCTGACACAGCATTTGGACTTATACCTAGTATGACCTCTTATGAGTGCCGTTAAATTATTAACAGGAAAATTGTTTTAATTTTGGTTGATCGAATGTTTTATATCAGATGTTTTTTTTTTGTTTTTTTTTAATTCATTTTTTTTATTTTTAGCAATGGCCAATTGGCTGACTATAAGGTCATGGCCTGAACAAACAATTTTATTAAATAGTCAAGTGATGCTAAAGCAGAGCACAAATGTGTAATAAGTTAATAGATTAAAAAAACTGATTCATGTGATGCATTACGCAGAGCACAGATAAAAATACTGATTCAATGATTAAAATTATAGCTGTGAGTGTCAATAAATTACTGTGTCATAAAAAAGGAAGGAACGATGTACACGTGATCTGAGATACCAATATCTCAATATCAAAAGGATAGTGTCTAGAAACATTCATAGTCCATGGTGGCAGGTATCAAGTTAAACGAAGTTACACTATCAGATGTTGATTTCTTAAAGATAGGTGTATATTTTTGCTATTATTTCTATGAAAGGGGAGGTACGGATAAAGTACCAAACCTTATTGTGTATATATGGTTGCAACTCCGGTAAATGATGAAACATTTCTCTTATGAGAGTGATACCGTGAGTTGCTTCCTTTTTTTTCTTAAAAAATAGAAAAAAAAGAGTGGATACTTTTGATTGAAATAAATTTTCGAGCACATACAGAATGAATGGTTACTAATTTAATATATATGTAGACCAAGCTCTGTGCACGGGATGCTTCCTGGAAGAATCCAGTTCTTTTAGCGGGGCACCCTACCTAAAGCCAAATTGAGATATAATAATCATATTCCTAGAGAAATAATCAGAAATCGAATACCAATCAAATAATATGATATATATGAGTAGTAACCATATTTACTATGCAAAATGCCCCAACCACATAGTGTAAATTTATATAGAATTCAAATTCCATATCATCATTAAACCTCAATACCTAGTCAATATAATAGCCCAAGCAAAATTAAATAACTTCTTATATACCTTACTGTCATACTACAAATTAATTAAACATTTGAAATCTGTTGACCAGAGAATAAATTTCTAAGCCTAATGCAAGTGAAATAATTTAGATGCAATAATGAATGCCTAATGTGAGTATCATTTGTCAATGTCCTTGTAAAAAAGTCTGTACAAGAGATATGAGTAACTAATATAGAAGAAAAAACAGGAAGTTGTCGTCTGTTGTAAAATAAATAAAATATCTAGAATATAAATTAGAATATAAAATAACATTCAGTCAATGTGTCGTCAATAAACTGTACAATTATCAAATGTTAAAACTGGGTGATACAGTCACCAAAAAAAAATACTAAGTATGATAAGTTAATAAATTAAATGTGGTCTATAAAACTACCACTAAGTATAATAGGTCAATAAATTAAAAGTGGTTTATAAAACTACCACTGTGGGAACCCCTTCTCCAGTTAAAACATGTCAGTCATGTTTAAAATCAATCAGAATGATAAGGTGGTAAAAAAGGGAATATCTTTTCGATACATCAATTATATATGCCTCAGATTTAAAAGAATTAGAAGTTACTTAGTTATCGGCGACTATGATTGCAGTGTAAAATTTGTCATATGAATTGTCGACGGTATAATTAGGGTCTGTTGTTATAGATGATAGTAGCTGTTTCTTATACGAATCACTAAAGCTTTTAACATCGGGCAGATTTCGTAGATCTGTTGGAACATTATTCCAACATTTTGCCCCCAAGTATTGAAAGTTTTTATGTGATGTTGATCTATTGACATAAAGGTTGCAGCTTTCGCCGCTCCTACTACCTCCTGATATGTAACTAAATTTGTTCATAAAGTTTGTAGGACAATTGTCATGGATGATTCTAAACATATAATTTGACAGATGGAGTTGTCGTCTAAGATAAGTAAGTAAGTAAGTAAGTAAAAATTATGACATAACATCATCACTAATGTCTACAAAGTATCATCACACTACATGGAAAAATAACTATTTCTCCATCAAATTTAAAGGTAATAATTTATCAAATATTAATCATGAATAAAAACAACATTACAAAATTTAATTTATTCATACTTCCCAGTGGAGTAAAGATTTATAAAACGTTTCTTTGCTACATAAGGATGGAACCACAGATAATCATTGTGTTTTTCCTTATTACTGATATAACTGGTACCTTCAATTCTTGTTAAAACTTCTTTCGAAACATTCCAAAAATGAAAGTCATTTACAATACATTTAGAAATCATATTCTTTTTAAAACTTTCCAATCCAATTTTAAAACTCAAAACTGTCAAGCAGTTCTTCACCTCCGAAGGGAGTTTGTTCCAATAAGGAACAACCCGCTCTGGAAGAAAAGAACACTGAAGATTCTTGACCTTTGTCACACTCTTACTACATCTATTGGATGAAACCAGATTAAGACCTGATCTGCTTGGTCTGAACAAGTCTGAACCATAATCAGTCAAGCCATTAATAACCTTAAAAGCTTCAATAAGGTCCCCACGTATTCGCCGCTCTGCCAGCGTTGTCAAATTAAGGATTTCCAGTCTACGGCTGTAAGGAAGAGTACCCACCTCATCAATCAGACGGGTAAACCGCCTCTGGACGCTCTCCAGCTCCAAAACAGTCCCCCAAC